GGAGCACGCTGGAGTTGTCGGTAAGAGCGTGGCAATGCTGTAAGAAGGGGGTACAGCCCCCTCCAGCCAGGACCTCCTCATCCCACCTCCATCCATCTGCACCATGGGCAGTCTTTGAGACCCAATCCTCCAGCACATTGCCATCCCTGGCAGTGCGGGTGCCTAACCAGGACACTGCTGCCCACGGGTGCCTAACCAGGACACTGCTGCCCACAGGTGCCCGACCGAGTGATGCTGGTTGAAGCTGAGCTGGACCTGGCCATCACCGTGCTGGGGCTCCCTGCTGTGCCCAGGCTCACGGAGCTGCGCCAGCAGCCCCTGGCCTTCCTCACCCAGGCTCGGGAGGACCTGCGAGGCTGTGTGAGTGTCCCTCCAAGTCCCCCAGCCCGTGCACCCCATGCACCCAGGTCACCTCTGGTCCTTACTCAGCTGCTCTATCATAGGTGGCCATGGAGGCTCCTTCTTATCATCCCTCTGGGAAACTGCGGCACTGGCTGCAGAGGCTGCAGATGGCCAAGGAAACGGTAAGTCAGGGCAGGGGGCTCCGGGGTGTTAACCAGCTGCACGCTGCATGGGGCTGCTGCACCCCTCTATGGTGCCAACCTGACCCTTCTCACCACCACAGGAGACTCCCGGCTGCCTGGAGGCCTCAGCCATCCTTCACCTCTTCCAAGTGCTGAATGACCTGCGGTGTGCAGCCCTCCGGGAGCAATGCACTTAGTCCCTGCCGGTGGCATGGCACAGCATGGTACAGCACGGCGTGGCATGGAATGGTGCTCACCAGCCCCAAAGGATGTCTGGAGGACTGGGAAGAACGATCTTTACTGCATCACTGGACTGTAATTTCCTATTTAAGCATTTTTCTTATTTATGTGATGAGCTCAGGGAGCAATTCTTTTTCATAGTCTGTTAAATTATTGGGGTTTATTATAAATGACTTGGGAGGAGGTAAATGTATTTATTGGATATCTTTGTTTTGCTGGTTTTCAAAACACTGTTTTTTAAAGAAATCTATTTTTATCTGCTATTTATTACAGAGTACATTATATATATTTGCCTGCATAAGTTATTTCCTACATGCTATTTAATATGCAGAATAAAACATTTTATAAACAGATGAGCTGCCATCATATCTTTTGAATACGCTTCACAGTAACTTCATTCCTTTGGAAAAGTGAGGTATGGGGGAGGAGGAAGGATATTGGGTGAACTTTGAGCATTTGCAAGTAAATCACAAACCTTTGGCACTCATGTTCACCTCCAGCTGCCTGGGGACACCCCAAATGCCCCTTGAGGTTGCCTCTGGGGACAGATAAATGCTGTGGGTGGCCCCGGGGACAGGAGCCCTCTGGCCACCCATGTTGGGTGGTGCGAAAGAGCACATGAGGCCTGGAGGAACACGCAGCCTAATGCAATGCTCACGTCCTAGCATGGGCTGGGCAAGCTCCTGGTTTGACAACCCCAGGGGCTCTCAGAAGATACCTGATTGATTTAACCACCAAACTGCAGGTCAGAATGAGCATGGACTTGGGAAGGAAGCAACTCAGTTGGGAGACCTGGAAAAGGACCATGAGCAGACCTGAACTTTGTTCAATCTATTTTCTCAGGTCAGAGAGATGGAGACAGGCAGCAGGGAGAGGCAGCAGAGACAGCAGCCACATGTGAGCATGAGCAGCTGGTTGAGGGAGGGGATTCTCCCCCTCTGTACCTTTAGGGAGAGGACAAGGGGGAATGGCTTTAACCTGCCAGAGGGGAGATTGAGATGAGCTCTTAGGCAGAAGCTCTTCCCTGTGAGGGTGCTGAGGTGCTGGCACAGGGTGCCCAGCGAAGCTGTGGCTGCCCCACCCCTGGCAGTGTTCAAGGCCAGGTTGGACACAGGGGCTTGGAGCAACCTGCTCTAGTGGAAGGTGTCCCTGCCCATGGCAGGGGATTGGAACAGGATGAGTTTTAAGGTCCCTTCCAACCCAAACCAGTCTGTGGTTCTATGATGTGTGTGTATTTCTGATGGCCATACTTGGGGCAGTGTAACCTCTGGTATCCCCTCTGGTATCTCCTATGCAAAGCAAGTCCACTGCAAGTTAATGCCGGGATGACTATTTGTGCTCCTTTGCCAGCCATAGGTGATGGAGCTGCAAATGCCACAGCTGGCCAGCATTAGCCTAACACCCCTGCCAGCTTTTTGTAGCGCAGGACGAGCCCCTCTGCTTCTCCTGGAGGGTGCTGCATGTGAGCCAGCAGTGCTTTAGCTTCCTCTGCAGGCTCATGTAGGGGATGCCAGGAGGGAGATGCTGGGAAGTCAGAGACTTTCTGAGTATCACTGAGTGCTTGGCTGGTTGGGATGTTAATGGCAGTTCCCCAGCCTCCCAGGGAAAAGCAGAGAGGTGTGCTCTTCCCTGTGTTTTGAGTCAGTTCAGACACAGAAACAGCAGAAGGAAAGTTAGCCGTTTTTCCAAAAGGATGAAGTTACAGTGAAGAATATTCAAAAGATACGATGGCTGAGTGGCCCTGGGGTGGTCAAACCAGGAGCTTGCCCAGCCCCTGCCAGGATGTGAGCATCGCATTAGGCTGCATGTTCCTCCAGGCCTCATGTGCTGTTTCCTGCAGGCGCACATTGAAAAAATGTCCCAACCCAGTGGTCAGCCTTGAGGGGGTTGAAATCAGGGTGGCCAAGCTTCTTGGGCTCCTGTCCCCGGGGCCACCCACAGCATTCATCTGTCCCTCTGCCTTGCCCCCTCCAGCTCAGAGCCCCCTGTTGCTAGCCCTACTCACAAAGTGCTCCTTCATCTTCTGCACAGCCTTCAGCTCATGGGGCACGAGGAACTGGTACTTGGAGAGGCTGCAGCTCCTCTTGAGGGCATCTTGGGGGATGGCAGCCCCGAGGCTGGTCCCTACCACCAGCGCCAGCAGGAGGATGAAGCTGAGGCACAGCATCGTGCTGACGACAGCCTGACAGTGAGCAGGTGATGATGGATGGGGCGAAGAGCTTGTGGAGCCAGAAGGCACAGAGGACACAGCGCAGCGCTCCGGGCTGGATCCCTGTTGGTACTGCTGCAGGCAGTGAACTCAGCTGCTGGCAGTCGGGTTGGGGGCTGGTGCTGGGGAGCTGCTTCACCTCCCTTCTCTGCTTCACCTCCCTTCTCTGCTTCATCTCCACGGCTTTTTATGCTGCCCCGACGGCGCATTCAGGTGGCAGGAAAATCCACAGCCTGTCGGCGCTGGAAACTGGAAAGTGAAAGCGGCGGCCGAGGGACTCCCGCCTCTCACTGCCGCCTCGACAGGGCAGCGCGGCAGCACCCGGAGAGCAGGGGGATGCTAGGGCTGCCTCCAGCGCACCCTCCATGGAGCTGAACGGGGGGACGCTGCTGCCACGTCGAGTGGTGCAGAGGTGCAGGCGGCCGTGACCCAGCCTGGCACGTGCTGGGAGCTATGGGAGGTCCCCAGGCTCACAGCCCAATGGGCACAGCGGGCTCGGAGGGTCCCACTGCCTCCTGAGCAGCAGCAGCACTTCGTGCCTCAGTTTCCCCGTGGGAAGCACAGCACAACAGCTGTGGCAGGGAGGGGATGGAAGCAACAGCCAGAGCGGGCACTGCACAATGCAGCCTGCGGGCACCTCCGGGTTATGCAGACAGACCAGGTTCATGACAAAAAGCAGGAAAACAGGTGAAAGCAGAAGTACTTCCACAGTGTTTTCCAGGTGGGATGTAGAGCTCTGCAGGGAGGCTGCTGGAAATGAGTGGTGCTGCCAGCGCCACCAGCGCTGGAGCTGGATGGGGTTTCCTCCCTGCTTAGTCTGGAAGTGCAGCTTTCACGTGTGGACATCTCTCTGCTGAGATCTGGAATGATGCCTCCACTCAGCAAAGTCCATCCTTCCTCGAGGTACTGTCCTGCGATGTGAAGCCGTCACTGCTGGGCTTTCATTTCATGCATTCATCAAGCATTAAAGATTCAAAATTAGCGCAATGCCCGTATCCAAAAAGCAAACCTGCAGTGAGGCAGCAAGAGGCACAAGCACACTTTGCAGGGCTTCACGTGGTGGCCGTAGAGGTCACTGCTCCAGAAGGACCCAATTTTTAACGCTCCTATTTGGAAACAAACTGCCAACCTCAAGGAGTCCAAGCAAATGCGTAAAGTCCTTACACAAGGCCACGGGAAGGTACAGCTATGGTGGGCACACCAGCACAGAGGCATGGAGGTGGGCTGGGACTTCCGGACATTGTCCAGTTCAACCGTTCCTCAAGCAGGGTCAGCCAGCACAGGCTGCCCAGGGCTGTGTCTGGTTTTGTTGGAGACTCCACAGCTTCTCTGGGTAACCTGTGCCAGTGTCTCACCACCCTCACAGAAACAGTGTTTTCTCATGTCCACATGGACTTCCACGTGTCTCAGGTTGTGCCCACTGTCTGCTCTCCCGTCAGTAGGCAACACCAAGAGCCCCGGAACCTTCTCTTCCCAGGCTGAACAGTCCCAGCTCCCTCAGCCTTTCTTCACAAGAGAGATGCTCCAGACCCTTCATCATCCTCGTGGTCCATTACTGGACTCTATCCAGTCTGTCCGCGTCTCTCTTGCACTGGTGAGCCTAGGACTGGACCCAGCACTCCAGGGGTGGCCTCACCAGGGCTGAGCCGAGGGGAAAGATCGCTTCCCTTGGTCTGCTTGGAACACTCCTCAAGCAGCCCCGGACACCGTCCACCTTCTGTGCTACGAGGACACGCATTTGGCTCATGTTCAACCTGGCATCCACCAGGACCTCCAGGGCGTTTCCTGTCGAGCTGCTTTCAATGTGGGCAGTCGCCAGCACAGCCTGGACTTTGAATTCTCCTTGCTGAGCTTCATGACGTTCCCATCAGGGTTTCCTTCCACAGCATGTCACAGACACATTGCTGCTGGACCAGGCTCCCACACCAGCCTCTTCTGCTATAGCAGTAATTAAAAGCCTGAGCCCCAGCCAGGGTTCAGTGCCCTCCAGTGAGCAAGACCACGGCACTGTCTTCAACCTCTGCCTCCCACCAGAAATGCACAGGTTTATAAGAATAAGCTTTATTCACTGCAATGAGTTCACAATCAATACAACTATGAAATAAAAGCCCAAACAGCAAAATTATCATCACCTCCGTCACCGAGGTGAGGTACAGCTCAGCTGGGATGGAATCCCAGACTGGTTTGGGCTGGAAGGAACCTTAAAGCTCATCCAGTTTCAACCTTTGCAGGGGCAGGGACACATTCCACAAGATCAGGTTGCCCCAAGCCCCTGTGTCCAACCTGGCCTTGAACACTGCCAGGGATGGTGCAGCCACAGCTTCTCTAGGCTGTTAACAGGTGGCACCTCAGTAGAAAATCCCAATGGATATAAAAATAAACATGGCCCCAGGGAGAAAGGGGAGGAAGCAGGTCCAGGCCCTGCCTGGAACTCTTCAGGTCTCAGTGGAGCAGCAGGAGAGTGATGGTGGCTCAGGGTCTCATACCGTGGAGGCCAGCCAGGTCATAGGGCAGTTCCTGTGGGGTGTTTCTTCCTCCAGATCAAGGTATGGGCCAGGCTGGGGTGTTCTGGCATCTCCAGCAGCCACCAGTGGGGCTGGAGCAAGGTCCACAGCACCCAGAGAGTGATGTCCAGCACCAAGATGATGTCCAGTGCCTGCTGTGCTGGGATGGCCTCATCTGCACCCTCAGGACCCAGAGCAGGGCTGGAAGATGGCCCTGGCATGCACACAGACCCACCACGAACCACTGCCACAGGCCCCTGCCAAGGACAGGGCTGGGGACGCTCGGGTCACCCGTCAAGTCCCAGAGCAGCATCACATCCTTGTGGGACCCAGTTTGGCTTCTCTTTCCCACCACTGTGGCTTTTAGTTCTCGGGCACATTTCTGGTTGGAGAAGTAAACAAAACCTCGTGTCTACATGCAGGCACAAGGAGATCCA